TCGAACAACGTGACTCACCTCATGGTACTTCCATCGATGTGATGAGGAAAATCGAATGAATCTACAGCTAGTACATGAAGATATACACTGCGATACTATCTTTTTATTATTGCTATTATTTTTAAATCCAAATCCCCCCACCCGTAGTCCACCATGTGCTCATATGGCAGGCTGGGTCGCGTTCGATAGATTTGCGCCACATGGCGCGCAGCGCATTTGAACGCGTATGAATGTGGCCCAAGGCAGTTTCAATGCGGGTGTTCGAACGTGAACGAGCGTTTGGCCCGTTCAAATGGTCACATAGCCTTCATATGTAATTCAGATCCCTGGTCACCTTTGCACTTACCCAGTCTTCCACGCCTCCAAGCTCGCACCTTTCAGGGAAACTGACTAGTTTCCTTCTCGTTGCTCAATGCTGCCCCCAACCATGGATGGAGAGATCGACATCGATGACATCGTGGATCGCAGAGAAATGCCGGTTCCAAGACCGACAGGAAGGGGATGTCCTCCGAAGCTGAAGCTGCAGTACCGAGTCCGGTTCAGACATCACACTGATCCAAAGGAGGATAGGTGGTTCACATGGGAGGAACTGATGCAGACCGCACCACAGGTTGTTGCCCACTATGAGAAGTTGCAACCGAAAGGAAAGCGCCAGATTGAATGCACTTCTCACAAGACTAGCGAAGTATGGAGGAGGGAATGCGAGGCACAAGGCCTCTATAAGCCCCACTGGGCCCTGTTATCAGCAAGGTCAGCCGCCCTAAGTGAAGGCAAGCCCGACCGAGGCTTATTTTGGACTACTATGCAGTTAATGCAACTGGGGAAAATTGAGGCAGTTGCGCAACACCAGTTGGTTGGAAGCGCCCAGGCCCAGGCTGCCTTTCATCGTATGTAACTGAGGCAGGCCCTGGGCCGGATACACATATGGACCGAACAAAGGCTGAGGGCAGTTGGGTGTTGGTAACCACCACAGGCCCTGAGCCTGTTTCCTTTGGACTGAGGCTCAACCTCGTGGGGCCTACTGGAAGAGTCTGGGTCGGGGCCCAGTACCGCATTACCGCACGCAGCAGCAGGCCACTTTGATATAGGGAAGGGCCTGCCCACGCATTCGACATTCCGACACTAGCTGCATGCTGCGCTAACGCTGGTTAGCGCTCACGCACTCACAGGCGAGCTGGAAGGAGCAGGCAGCCATAGCCGGGCTGCGCTGCTGTATGGTGGATGGGGTGCATGGTGGTCCTTGGGTGCATGTGGCATCTGTGAGTTGAGGAACCAGGTTGTGAGTTATATGAGAGACATACCTGGTTTTTGAAGCATACGGCATTGGCCGAGATCTGCTCGTACTTCGGGGAGCTGTTGACGTCACCAGCGGTATTGTAGATAGGCTAGATAGGATCTGCCATTTATAGTCCGGGCTCGAGCTGGAAGGAGCAGGTAGCCATAGCCGAGCTGCGCTGCTGTATGCTAGATGGGGCGCATGGTGGTCCTTGGGTGCATGTGGCATCTGTGAGTTGAGGAACAAGGTTGTGAGTGATATGAGAGACATACCTAGTGTTTGAAGCATACGACATTGACCGAGATTTGTTCGTACTTCGGGGAGCTGTTGACGTCACCTGCAACATTGTAGATAGGCTAGATAGGATCTGCCATTTACAGTTTGGGTGCCAAGCGATAGATAGGATGTCGACATTGGTTCTTTGTTGATGATGATGAGACTACTCAAACATTGCCACTTATGAGCTTTTGCTGTACTAATATTTGGTGGGACTCGTGATGCAATTCTGCTTTTGGTTCGAGGTCACGACTATCTCGTCTCATGTGTATGATGCTGCTTGGTTTCTGAAGTTTGCTATCGCTCGTTTTCCTTGCATAATATTATTTTCAAATTTCAAAGAAATGTCAAAAAAGAATTAATTATTTCTAGCGTATTTCGTATTTTACGAAAAAGAAAATTTAAAGAATTTAATTAATTCTAAAATATTTTTGAATCACAAAAACTTCAAAAAATAATTTATTAAAATTATTTTCGAATTTCTAGGAAGAGATGCGAGAAAGAAGAAGAAGAATAGTGAAAAACAGTGGCCAAACTGCCTTTCGTACACGCTTTGAATGCTCATGAATACTTAACAGCGCATACTCAACTCAGCACACGGGCACATTCCCCAACGCGTTTCGATCGGTTGCGCTCCGATCATCCTCAGGGGGCTTCCCACACACCCTCGCCTTGCAGCCCACCGATCACACCTCCCTACCTTCTGAGAACTGAGGGTCGATCAGGCCTTGTCCTCCTATATACTGAACGCCAAGTAGGACGCTTCATCAGCACGACACTTCCTCCCCTAACGGGCACTTCCACGAGCGAGTGCAGCGCGTAACAGGTTTTCACGCGGCTGCAGCTATTGGAACGGGTGGTTGGCGTTTGCACAGAAGCAGGTGATGCTTGGGCGCACCCCCCATAAACCCCTATAAGCCATTTCCTGAAGCGAGCATTTTGCGCACCCCAGGGCCTCCGACTACCAGAAAACGTCGGACAGTCCAGGATCTTGAACGGGGCGGTTAGATTTGCGCGGAACCCCGAAGTCCGTCGGGATCTGAACTTGGGTTGTAGAAGGTGACATCACCACAACCTGGCGGCTGCCTCAGAAGGTTATTCCAGGAATTCTTTCAGAAGAAATTGCTTGTAGAAAATTTTTGAGCGTAGTCCGAACATCCCAAAGTGTTGTATATGCTCTTATGTTCTTGTGAAGAGGAAAGAAAGCGTCAGACGCGCTTTGTATCATTATGTGCGCCCGCAATGGAAGCGCACGACGTTAGCTATGTGGTTGAAACAGCGCAAGTCTACATGATAACGCTGACAATCACCTGAGCTGCTCGCCACATCGCAAGCGTCAACACGCGAAGTTCGCCGGGATCCGAACTTCGTGTTGCGGCCCTCGCACGGTGGCGACTGGCAGGGTGTTCGGAACTATCGACTCCACCCCCGTGAACTGAAAGTCATGTCCGGCAGTACTGACTCGTGCGGCCAAGTGGGGGCGACGTTGCAACTGCAAGCGCATAACCAGAAAGGGCGAGTCGTGCGTGGAAAGGGAAGCCCGCATCCCGGCGAACCACAACAATCATGTGGTGTGCTGTCATGTGCGAGTGCTCTCCCCCATGGCCACGCGACGGCAACACCATGACACTTCACAGTGGCAGAGACCAGTATCGTGGAGGGGACCGCGTTGTTCGTTGTTTAACGAGACCATCGACTCATGTCGAGGTGTTCTCCATGAAACAAGCGGTGATCACGCCGAACAAACGGCATCGTCATTGTAGCGACTGGCGATGTCGTTCTCCATCGCGCGCACACCGCTTGTGCGTTCTCTGGCCGGGAGCCCGCGGATGTCGCGCGCACATTCCTGTCGCTGGTCGCAAGGAGTGATGCAGCGCATCGCTCACGACCAGCGCCAGGAGCTCGCGCTCAACATCGGTGGGCTCTTGGACGGATCATCTGCACGCTGTGTGCGCGGGATCGAGACGACACCAGCTGCCATTGGGTTGACACGTGGTCTCTTCGGCGAGAGAGGCACATGTTCAGTGGCGAGAACCTGAACACGGATGGACGACGTCTTCCCGATGTTGGACACCAGCCTTCTTAAGCGTAAGAGATAGCCACTACACGCGAGGTGGATGATCGAGAACCGCGCGCACATCCCTGTCGTGCTCACTCAAATGCCCCCCCC